TTCGCGCCTCGGGGGCGGGGCTTCGCGCCTCGAGGGCGGGTCGCCTTCCGCGTCACGGAGCCGCCGCCGGGGCGCCGTCAGCGCGTGCCGGACCGTTTCCCCCCGCCCCGGCGGGGACAGCCGCCATCATCGGGCTCGCCTGCCGCGGGGCGGGCGAGCGGCCTTCCCCGGCGCTGGTTTCCCCTCACGGCATCGTCGGTATTCCTGCCCCGGGGTTCGTAAGACCCCCCCTCTCCCCGAGGCAGGCGGTTGGGTGGGAGACCCCTCTGGGCTTCTCTGAGGGGAAGAAAGTGATGTCCAGGTGTGTTGCTGAGGGAAAAGGAGAACAAAAGTAGTAACAGTTTAAAAAAGCACTCTCTGAATAGGTGAGTTTGGCTGCTAGAAGTGAGCAGACAAAGTTTCTTCCCTCGTGCGCATCTTCCTTTCAGTCTCGAAAATCGTCGTCCTCGTGAGGCCTCCGTTTCTGCTTTGAGGCCTGCGGTTCATCGTTTTCCAGCTGGCACCTGGACAGATTCCTCGTGCTGCTTGAATATATTTAAGCATCCTTCGGGTTATATTTGAGTATGTGGTTTTCCCAGTGTCATGGCTGAGAGCAAAGTATAAGCAGCCAAGTTATTATTCTATTTTAAAAATTTGGACTTTATCCATTATTTAAATTGCTGTAAAATTACATTTCTCGCCCTTTATTTAAAAAGTTGGAGGCGGCATTGATTTATAGATCACCAAAGTGAAATTAGAGAGTTTCCACGCCTAAAATGTCTGCTCCACAAATAAAGTCAATTAAAAGGCTACTCATCGTTTTGGGGGTGTTTATGTTAAGGGAGTAGGATCAGTCCAAAAGGAAAAAAGCAAACTTAGAATAAGACAGAGGAGAACCTAATACAAATCAGCAAGGCAAGTAGTAGGACAACCCTAAGAGAAGTATACGCTTGGTGCTTTGGGGGAAATGGAAGCTTCAGAAGAAATATTGCGTGTAAGATTTGATGCTAAACTGTGGTCATGGAAACAAGTCTTGAAAATTAGATCAAAGAGACACCCAGTACCATTGTTAGTTTCTCATCAGCAAGTAGCTGTGAAGTCCAAGTTGTTGATCCACTTGGAATAAAAAAAAAAAGACAACTAGTAGGTTAGACTGGCTCTTTCTAAAAGGTATGGTTGCAAACCTCAGAGGATTCCCAGCCTAGCAAGTGCAAAGGTAAGCAGCAGGTCAGTGCTGTGTAGTTTGGGAGGAGACTTTGATTTAATGCTTTAAACATTTCTTGATGTGGAAATAAAGAGGTGTAACCAATGACAGGTGAGAAAGTATGAAAAGTCTTCAGTCTTTTAAAAAATCTCACCTGCATTAAACAAGCTAGAAGTAGCGCATGAGGCAGTTACTTCGCTCTAATTCTTTACAGAGTAGATTTTTATATTAAAGTTATGGTGCAATGGATGCCAACCGTAAATTTTTCTATTTATCCACACAAGCAGAACAGTGGCAAAGAAGCGTAATTCCTTATGGAATTACAGTGTTGAAATCGCAACACTGTCTACACCAGTGCAACCGGGACCCTGCGCTTTAACACAACTGTTTTATGGGTGACAGCCTTACAGTAGTTTGCCCATAGATTTTTCTAACACTATTCTGACTCTAGACTGCGTAGCTCTCCATTAACACTCTTCAGATATAGGAATAATGTTTGGGAAGGCTTAGAGACCAATTTTGCACTTAGAGAAAGTAAAATATGAGAAGGTAAAAGTGCCTTGCTCACAGCTGAGGGCAAGGCTAGCACCATGAGATCCAGTTTCGCATTTTCTACAGCAAAACACAGAGAATGTAAATAAATGTTTCCAAAGTTACAGAAAGAAACCAAAGATTATGTAATTATAAAAAAAAAAAAAATCCAAAATGTATTTTAATTGGTTTATGTTTGTCTTTGTCTTAGAAGTGGGATATGAACACATTTCCCGAGACTTTGCAGAACGGGTAGTTTGCACAGCCACCAATTACAAATATAATTTATTATGGCATCTTTTTTTTTAACTTATTATCTTTGATAGCTGAGATTATCTAACACTGAACAGTAACGAGAAGTATTTAATTTTTTTTAAGTTGGTTTATATTGTGCACTTGATATTTAATTTTCTGTTCTCTGGTTTACAGGGAAGGGCAGAGGATTGCAATAAATACAGCACATGGCACAGCCAGCCAGAAGGGGTACTGTTGGGTATACTGAAGAACACTGCAGAGATCCAGGTGAGCGTGCAAAGTCAGTATCCCCAAAACTCCCGTAGTGAAACAATGTGACCCCAGTTTGTCTTCACCAGACCTGAGCTGGCTTCTGCAGAGCCGCTTACATGATTGTCTCCAGTGCCCCAGTTCTGAGAGATTTCACTACCTTATGCTTGTAAGCATACAGCTTGGTCAGCTCTGGAGCTGCACCCAGGCAAGAGCCAATCTTACTGGACTCTGCAGGAGGCAGCTCAGTCTGGCAAGCTGGCACAGAGTGCTACTGGACCTCCATGGACTTGGTGACATTCAGAAACAATGGGACAGAGGTAGCAGCTGAGGGATTTCTATTTGTATCTCAAGGTCTTAGGAGCAGGGGAAGTAACTCCAGAGACTCCAGGCTGAGGTTGCCTCTAACACAGCGTCCATCAGACTGCTCAGCTTCTACCAAAGGAAGAAAGTCTCTACATCCCACCTGTGGTTCAAGCTTCCCGTGTTGGTAAATGACCAAGCGTTCCATCCGAAGTCATCTGACAAGGTTTAACCTTACACATTTTTTCATGCACAGAAGTGGGTTACAAGTTAACAGTAATTTGGGGAGCGCAAGACTAACAGGATGAATCTATAAAAACGTTAACAGTGACAGATTTTTATCCCTTTTGATCAGCTTCCTGTAAAATTTATCAGAGAAACATAAAGAGTAGTTTCAAAAACATTCATGGTCTTGTTTTCCTGGCTTCTGTTTGTTTTCTGACCAGAAGAACGTTGCTTGCTGGTGAGCAGCGAAGGAAACGCTGCTTTGATGCTGCTCTGCCCAGTGCACTTGTTGCCTTAGCCCAGACAACTAATAAAACAGGACTAATAAAACAGAAAAGCTTTTAGATTCAGAAAACCTTCTTCGAAGGTATTTGCAAAAGTACAAAGTAAAAGCATTCTATGTTTTTATGGCTAGCGGCTTGCAGCAAAAGCCTGGAATATTGTGTTAAAGAGCATTAAATTTGATGTTGCTGGCAGAGGATCAACATTCCAATAGCAAAAGCTGATAAATTCTGCTGGGTCTGTTGAAGCCGGTACCAAAGATCCAGGCAGACCCGGGCTGGTATCCAAGTACTGAGTCATAAGTCCGAATAAACTCTGTTATGAAAGGATCTTCATTGTTCAAGAATTTTCAACTCTCACCTGGGAACATGAGGGAGAGGTCTGGTTCACTTCAACTAACTTCAGCTGTCTAAAAGTTAAGCATCTAGTTTAAGGCCTCCAGCTATGAAGAGCGAGAGAAAGAGGGGGCACCTCCAGGGCACGATCTATTCCACCCACTTTGGAGATGTGTTTTATTAAAGAAAGAACTGCCCTCTGGAGCGCTGTCTCTGGGTTGCCTTTCTTTCATCGGAAGTGCCTCGACAGCCACCTTACAGATGGCTGAAGTTAAGTGAGATGAATTCAGGCCTAACTGGTAGCTATAACCTAATGATGGAAATAATATGGCAGCATTCCAGGAGGTATTAGCAATTCACATAGTTCCCAGATTCTTTTTTTTAATCATTTTTTATGACTTATGGAGGTCAATTATGAAAAGCCCATCAGAACACAAGAAATGCTTAAAAATGCTGCATTAGAGAGATATTAATATTAGTCCGCTTGATGTGGTAATGGCTGCAGCCTTCTCGGCCTGCTGCTCTGGCCTGCTGCTTAATGCATCCAGTTTTTCTATTTACAGATTTACAGATTCTATTTTTGGTATTAGCAAAGAACATGAGCATATGTATCAAAGACTGTTCTCACATCATTTAATTATAGTACTACTGGCAAAGTAATTCTGGAAAGTGCCACTTAATTAAATATAAGCATTAACTTTTTGCTGATAGCTTATCAGAAACAATTAGGTTTGAAATATGGGCAATACACCTAATGTTTAAAACTTTAAGTAGAAGCATTAAAAGCACAAAATAACCAATTTTCATTAGCATTCTCCAGAGCTTTTTCTGCTGAGCACAACCTCAATTTTCATTGGTACAGTGCTTCTTACTGCAAGTTTATCTGGACTCCTCTTTGTAACCAAAAGCTTGAGCCGAGTGGATGCTTTTGAAAGTGATTAAAACATTTCAGGATAGCTGGTGTTTTTTTCAATTCCTCCTGAAGTATCAGGTGTATTCTGCTGATTATTTGAGGTGTGTAGACAACAACCGAAGAACTGTTGTGGGCAGTCAGAAGATCTCACAGCTTAAGGCAAATGCTTATTCCTTGCAAGGACAGCCTGATCAGCATTTATGTTCATATACCAATGCCAAATATTGGTTAATTCTATGTAATTTTTCATCAATAGCCAGATAGATCGAACACATAATTAGACCTAAAGTATCTCTGCAGAACTTCGGGCTCTGCTGCCGTTTGCCTGAAAGTGCAGACGGGAAAAACAGTAAGCAGAGCTGTAAGGAAAAGAATTCTTCTTAATTAAAGATACAAGGGCTAGACGGAACTAATTTCTTTAGAAGGTGTGTTTGACAACACACAGCAAAACTACACAGCAACTGCTGAGATGCTTTTCCTAGACTGAACATTAGGGTAAGCAGAAGTATCAAGATGATCTGAAAC